CTTTTCTAAAACTACTCCAGCTGGTCATTTCTTTGCAGTTGGATCAGAACGACGGCGTGTCATGCAAGACGACATAAGAGTTTGACATCTGGTCGCTGGAGGATTTAGTGGGTTTTGCCCCCTCTTATCCAGGTCTTTGTGGCCCCCTGCCAATAGAAGTTGTGGCGCCTTCGTCATCATTAGCTGGTCTCTTGTTGTAGATGATCGGCAACTTCTACCCGGGATCATGGGGCATGAAGGCGGTGGAGAAAAAAAAACGGACCGTACAAAAGAGCACAACTAATACCCGCACTCTTTTCTTTCTGGTTTTTTTTTCCTTATGTTTCTTTCTTTTGTCTGGCGTCCCTGTGTCAAAATGCCAGAGCTTTTGTATTACTCCTAAATCTGATTTCATTTAGGAGATCTCTACACAAGATCTGACACCAGCTCCGTAGCTCCGGAATGACTTAGGCTGACTCGTGGTGCGGTTTGGTGACAAGCCCGTGGGCCACATTGCGCTGTTGGGATTAGCTTTAGTTGTTTTTTTTTGGGGGGGGGGGGGGTTTGGTCTCAAGGCGCCGTGACCTTGAGCTCCGGCCTTGATCTCATTTATAAGTAAGCCTTCCTAATTCCTAGGTCAATATTTAAAAAATAAGTTTGGCCCCTAACCCTCCCCTTCCTTTCAACCTCCCGCCTTTCACGAGAAGATGCCTTCATATTCTAGATCATCAATAGAAGACTTACTAAGGTAGTGAATGAATGAATGAATGAACGATTGAACGAATGAATGAATGAATGAATGAATGAATGAATGAATGAATGAATGAATGAATGAATATCTCTCCTGGTTGACTTCCAATCTTTCAAGCACAACTAGTGCCCGCACTCTTCTCATTCATTTTTTGTTGTTGCCTAGATTCTTTTTTCTTTGGTGTGGCGTCCAAGTGTCAAAAGGCCAGAGCTTTTGTATTACTCCTAAATCTGATTTCATTTAGAAAACAAAACTGATATTTGATAAGATGTTACACAAAGATGCATCCTTAGGAAGATCGTTACGTGTGGTACAAGGTAAAAGGTGTTGGAAAAAAAGCTAAATTATATAAAGGGCAAATATATGCTTTTGGAAACTATATGTCACAATTCATATCAAAAGGCTGATCCATTCGGCCAATTCACGCTATGTATAATTCTCGGTATTGTGCCGCAAGGTTATTGAAAAGAATTGAATTAAACAATCGAATCTGCTCCGAAGATCCCTTGTCCAAGACAATGACTTTCTGTACAAATGACCCCCCCCCCTCCCCTCCACCCTCTCCCATGCCTTTTGTATAATATTGCAATAACACTCCCCAAGACATCCCCCTGTCGAAAACAACCACTATTCTCCTCGACAATGACTGGCCATGTTTGACTATTTCGACTGCAAGTTGTGCTGAAATAAAAGTTGTCTTTTTGTATTTTGAAATGTAATGTTGCTTTTACTGTTTCTGTTTTTGTTGTTAGTTTCGTCGAGTCATCGTCAGTATAACTGTTACTGATACTGTTGTTGTTGTTGTTGTTGTTGTTGTTGTTATGTGTCTATTTGGGG